GTATAAAATCCCGCCAACTGCTTGTGTAATCAGAAGATACTAAAATATATTTTAGATAGTTCTCCAATTCTAACCGTTATTATTTTAAATCCACTGACTCCTGTTATCAAAATGTAGGTAATCCTAAAGAGTAAAGATGAATACGAACTGAGAGTGGAAAAAAAATCATTTTTCTGTGTACGTCATTCAATTTCTTGCAAAGTATATCTTTCTAATTAACCCAATTAATTGTAACTGCCCCAATGTTGGTACGTTTCCCATTACAACAAAATGTTAAGCTTCAGCAAACTGTAGAGATTTTGTTTACAACCAATAATTCTGTAAATAGCAGACCTTGAGATTAAGATAACTTGGTACACATTGGAGTGTAAGCACGACGTACAAAAACGGTACAACCTGCTACCAGCGGAAAACTGTTTACTTACCACCTTCACGTTTCGCCTTAAGACTTTTTTTTTATTAGATTAATCTTCTACGATAACAACTTAGACTAAGATTACTTAACCTTTCAAAAAAGCATTGAGGCGAAACGTAATTCAAAGTGTTTCACTGGTAACGGATTGTTTAGTTTGTGTTAGAGAATACCTTGAGGTTCAATATAATTTACGTTGTAAAACTTTTTTAAATTACAGTGCATGTAAGAGAATACCTTGAGATTTGATATGAGTTACATTGTAACACTTTTCTGTACTTCAGTCTGTGTTTGCAATGAAAAACTTATACTTATACTTATATGTGAACTGCTGCCTAGCAACAATAATGGACAAATTAAAATCGTAGACACTCGCTGAAATATTATTTCATCTTCTTCCGCGTTTTTTTTTTTTTTTGTATGTGCTCTCTAATTACAGTTTTGGTTGGTCGTTGTCATGATATAAAAGATGTTTAGCGTGGGTATTATTAATTAAGTGTTTTGTGAGTTAATTTCTCATGATTTTTTTATGATAAGAGAGTTAAAAGCAGACGATTGTTGGAAGTTGTGTTTATAATTAATTGATGTTGAGACTATCGAATGTCGCGTGCAATACATTGACGTCGAAAATATAGAGATTTCTACAAGGCGCAGACGATTAAGTGATAAATATATAAATAGTGTGAAACGAGCGGAAGCAGAAGAACAGAGCAAAGTCAAGCAAAGGAAAAATTCGGCGTGAAGTTAACTGCCGTAGAAGTGATAGGCCTAACATCTAATATGCTAGAGTAAGACTAATCTTTGAAAATGAGATAAAACGCATACTTTGTCTTGGCAAAGAGTGTTCTAAAGCAGTTGACCCTGACTGTGTGGACTTTGACAAAAAACAGACGATTATTGGAAGTAGGCCTAAATACGAAAAAGCAGACGAGTATCGGAAGTTCAGGATACAACTACAGTAACTCAATGAGGCAGAGTAAGTGAATTATACATGAAATTATTAGTGCGAAAGAAATATAAAAAAGTAGTTCGGCTTGCCAACTGAAATTCTAAAGCAATTGAATAGGCCTAAGTGGACTTTTGACAAGAATAAGAGAACCACACACATATATATATAGTTTATATGCCTATAATCTATATAGTATAAATAATTTGTTATACATACGTTTAACTAGTTTCGAATATATATATATATATATTATTTTGAAAACAAGTGCGTGTTCATTTATTGTTGAGTTTATCGCTGACAAGTCACAGACACCTACTGTAGAAGAATCCTAATCCCAACAACAAACCGTATATATTTATACTATTAAGAAGTAAGTATACGTACAAGCCTTTAATTGTGCAATTAGCGAACATAACATAACTTAGTTTCTGACAGCCGTTTCTGTAATATCGGTTTTATTGTTGAATAATCCCTTTCACTAAATAGAAAGTCTTGTACTAAAGTAACTAAACAAACAAAAAGAAAAAAGGGAGGCATGAATTATTACATGCAGGCCTATACGTTTTAATATTAAAATAATAATACTAGTATAACAACTATAAATGACGATCCAGCTTTTCAAATGCAGTGATCATTGATACTTTAAATAGGGTTCTCTTGGAGTGCAAGGTTGTGTTTTTGTCAGGCAGTCGATGCTTTAATAAAAGATGATGGTGAAGCAACTGTTCTCTACCCACAATGCCAGACGCTACTATATATATATATATGTTAATAATGGTCGGCTTGAATGGGTAATGAAGAAAACTTTAATATAAGTCTAACATAACAGCAAATGTACAACGTTTTGTCATATATATATGTTGTATAATAATCTATATATGTTTTGCACCCTCTATAAATCTGGCAGTACGAGCTCCAGTCCTTGAAGCTGTTAATCTGGTTCCAAGTACAGTTTGTTAATTACAGATCTCCGTTGTCTTAACTAATTTCTATTTTGTTCTAATGTCATTCCATGTAGTGTGTGAATATTAATCCATACAACACAATCATGTTGTAAGACGTACAATATTACACAAAGTAGTAATCCATACAACACAATCATATTGTAAGACGTACAGTTTTACACAAAGTAGTAATATGATTGTGTTGTATGAATTACTACTTTGTGTAATATTGTACGTCTTACAATATGACTGTGTTGTATGGATTACTATATTGTGTAATATTGTACGTCTTACAAAAATCATTGTCTTATAAAACAGTTGTCCTTGATCCTGATGCATAATGTCACGTGATACTTTTTACATATTGTGTAGTAAATTATAGCCTACATAATTTTTTTGTAATCCCCCCCCAAAAAGAAATCTGGGGCTCTAGTACTCAAAGCCACTACGTTAATTCAGCCCTACTTGTAACTACAAGTTGATAATTCTGTTTGTTGCAAAACCTGTAAATTTCTAAGACGTTATTAAATACTTCTTTTCATGAAAGATTATAATTTGGATCGAGTTTATCCCAAGAATCACCACCAGTACATTTTTCAGTATAATTAACAACGTGATTGACTAAGCCTATTAGAACTTACTGGGTCGACCGACAGTAGGCTCGTAGAGTGTTCGATGTGCAGCACAAAAACTTTCTATAACACTGAACAGAAATATCAACACAATATTTAGACCCTGGACAAGCCGCGAGGAGACTTCTTCATTCCTCCTAAGCCTATATACAATATACTTTACTAAAACATCAAATATCTTAGTTCAATTACTATATTACTGTCTCATACGATGTTTTTTGTTGGAATGTTGTACATATGAACATAAAACCCACTGTGTGATTTCAGTTTGAAAAACAACAACAACAAACATATTAGACTGCAGATGTTGGTTAATTCTTTTTTTAAACATTAATATCTAAATCTTACAAGTTTCTTTCCACACGCAACACGTGCAATGTGAATGTGACTATGAACAGTTAAAGAACTAAAACAATATTGTGTCTACACTCTACAATAAAATCATGCTCTACAACAATGAAAGGTAGAAACTTTTATTATCTGTTTGAATGTACATGTCTACTTAAATATAACTTTATCCATTTGAGCTTTGGACTGAAACAAAACTTTACAAAATCTAAAGTACTGGAAAGAACCTGTTAAATTTTGGGTGATAATAATTTTTTAGTTTAATATAATATGAAGAATATCAAATAGTAAAATATAAAAAACAGCCAGTGCACTGTATCTTCTACACATTTATAACACAATCAAAATGTTTTATGACTTGGTCATAATTATATAAAAAAAAATGGAAAATGGTGATTAACACTTACATCAAAAAATTTTATAAACATAGCTAACAAAGAAATATGCTTCAGATTTTACAGTAAAGAAATGCACTAAATAACTCATAACTGTAACAACTGTAAACTTTTATGATGTTGTTAAATTACTATATTAATCAAACATCATAGTGCATGTTTCCTGTCAAGTGTCAAATATATTAAGTGTAACAATGCATGTTTCCTGTCAAGTGTCAAATATATTAAGTGTAACAATGCATGTTTCCTGTCAAGTGTCAAATATATTAAGTGTAACAATGCATGTTTCCTGTCAAGTGTCAAATATA